TGGCCGCCACGTGCGGACGTCGACCCCCTTTGGCCAGCAGCGCGGACGAGACATCTAGCCTTTATTATGGATATCTATGCCTGCAGCTGCACGCCACCGGAAGGCGCCCGCCTGACACGAGCGACCCGTTCCCGGACGTATACATGGATACGGACTTTGAGGAGGACAGTGGACCCCTATTACAAAACGTAAATCAAAGGATGGATCTGTGCAAGACGCAAAAACATTATACAGAACTTGCACTAAAGTCCTAAACAAGAGAACTCTCCATAACAGGCAAACAAGCGTCTGGGCAGACAGATTTGGAGGACAAAAACCTCAGTGGAGGACTTTGTACAAGCCTCCCATCAAGAAACGTACTGGTGACCTTCAATGGAGGATACTTCACGGCGCCATTGCTTCAAACGCATTTTTATCTGTCATCGGTCCTGAGGTTTTAAACAAATGTCCTTTTTGCAGTTTGCCTGAGAGTGTGTTTCACGTTTTTATGGATTGTGTACGACTGACTAGTTTTTTTTTATTTTTTTAATGAACGTTTTTAGCCTTTTTAGTGTGGTTTTTACCCATTCCGTTTTTATCAATGGTGTACATTACAACCGAGCCACTGCTTTCAAATCCAGAATTTTAAATTATTTAATCTCTGAAGCAAAAATGGCCATTTATTTAACACAACGAGTTAAACTGCAGGAAGGACCTCAGCTCGATGCGGTGGTTCTGTGGAAGTGTAACGTCAAAGCCAGGTTGAGGCTGGAGTTCTGCTTCCACAGAGCCACTGGGGATTTGAAGGGTTTTTTTTAAACTGTGGGGTTTTAATAATGTGTTGTGCACCATTTCTGAGTCAGGAGAGCTGAAATATAACAAGCTGCTTTTATATTGGTAACTGTTTGGTAGAGAACAGCAATTATTGCCGCTTTAATTTAATTTTTTTAAATTTTGAAACAGCAAAGGAGCCCCATAGCATCATAAGTGTACCCCCGCTATCATATTTGACTGTAGGTATGATGTTCATAGTAGATCATACAAGAAGGACATTGGGTTCCATTAAATCTCCTGACAAAAGTCTCTTTCTTAGTGTTAATGATAACCTCAAATGTAGCCAATAGTTCTGAGTTCTTGTCTGACCTTCACTGATGCTCTCTTTGAGTAATTATGGAAGTGCAGGATAATAACTCTTATTGGTTCGCTGGTGTCCGGAAGCCTTACAAATGTTTTGGTTACAATTTCTGTACTCATATATGTGAGTG